TGAGTGGGGGGGGGGGCCGCATTCCAGCCGTGCACCTGTGGGGGGCGTTTGGGGGGGGTCCCGTTCACCCCCTCCCCGCTCTTCCTTCGCCCCACAACAGCTGCAGCCAAAGTCCGCTGCGGGCAGTGAATCATTAACCAGGGGAAAACGGGGGGGGGGGGGGGAATCGTCCCGTTTGTGGATGGGGGCGGCAGCACGGGACCCCACTGCAGCACCGCTGCCAGGAACAGCTTTATTGGAGGGAACGGGAACCAACGGCAACAGAAGGGCAGGAAAAGCAAAAGCAACGGCAGAAAGAAAAAGCCAACAGAGAAAAGCAGCGCCCTCCAAAGTGCGAGCGGAGCGCAGGGGACTCAAAGTCCCCCCTTATCTCCTGCCCGCTATCGGCCGGCAGAGGGGACGGAAAATAGAGAGGGGGGGGAGAGCGGGGCTGCGAGGGGCACAAAGCGCGGCCAAACGAAGCGCCGGCCCGGAAAGCAGCCACACGGCAGCGGCGCGCGGCTGGGCTCAAAGGAAGAAGAGCTTGTTGCACAGCCGCGCGTCCGGCTCGTGCTGCAGCACCTGCCCCGCCAGGAAGGCCAACCTGTGCGCGTATTTGCAGGGCGCCGGCACGCGGATGGTGCCCGGCCAGTTCCAGTAGAGGTGGCACAGCTTGAACGTCAGCCTGGGGACGGCGCGAGGAGCCTGAGCACCGCGCCACCCTGCGGCCCGGCCCCGGCCCCCCGCAGCCCCTCACCTCTGCAGGTGCTCGGCGCTCAGCCCGGCCGAGTTGAGCACGCAGACGTAGCGCGTGGGGACGCTGCAGCCCAGGCGCGGGCGGTGGGCCAGCAGGAAGAAGTCCTGCCTGCGGGGAGCGCAGCTCGCGGCCACCGCGCCCCTCGCCCGGCCCCCCGGCCCCACGGCCCCCCACTCACCACTCGGTGCTGGTGATGCCCTGATCCACCACCGTCCCCGCCGGCGCGGCCGAAAGCTGCTCCGAGGAGACGGAGTAGAAATTGGTGCCCACCTGCTTCTGCACCACCAGCACGGCCATGCTGGGCCTGTAGCTCTCAAAGGTGTCGAAGCACTTCTGCAGCTGCGGGATCTCGTATTTGAGCACCGTGTCCAGCTGGCTGTCCGACACCCCGTCCCGGTACAACACGATCTTCTTGGGCAGGCAGTGGTTCATCTGCGGGAGCAGAAGGGGTCGGGATCCAGGAACCAACACAGAAGGGGGAGATGAGGATGGGGGGGGAGATGTCCACCACCGTCCCCGCC